CCTTATTGAATTTCATAAGATTTCTTCTGGTCTAATCCTTCAGTTTCTCTCTCTCAATCCTAGCTCTACCCTCTAGCGTATCTACTACTCACCACCCAGCTTGGTTCCACTGGCAAACTTCCTGAGGGTGTGCTCCATCCTATCTTCCAAATCATTGATGAACATCTTGAATAAAACTGGCCCCAGAACCAACCCCAGGGCACTCCACTTGATGCTAGTTGCTACCTAGACATCAAGCCATTGATTGCTACCATTTGAGCCCAACAATCCAGCCAGTTTTCCATCTACCTTACAGTCCAAGCTGTACTTATTTATCTTGCTTGTGAGAATGAGACACAAGCCTTGCTAAAGTCAAGGTACACCACATCTACTGCTCTCCCCACATCCACAGAACCAGTTATCTCATCATAGAATGCAATCAGATTGATGAGACTTAACTTGCCCTTAGTGAATCCATGCTGACTGTTCCTAATCACCTTTCCTCTCCCCTAAGTGCTTAGAAATGGATTCCTTGAGGATCTGATCCATGATTTTTCCAAAGACTGAGACAACTGACCTGTAGTTCCCTGGATCCTCCTTCTTCTGTTTCTTTAAGATGGACACTATATTTGCCCTTTTTCAATTGTCTGGGACCTCTCCTGATTGCCACAAGCTTTCAAAGATAATGGCCAGCAGGTCTGCAGTCACATCAGCCAACTTCCTCAACACCCTCAGTTGCATTGCATCTGGCTCCATAGATTTGTACACATCTAGCTTTTTAAATAGTCCCAAACATATTCTTTTGCCACTATTGGCTGCTCACCACCTTGCCAAACTGTGTTGCCAGGTTCAGTAGTCTGACAGCTGACCTTGCCTGTGAAGACTGAGGTAAAAAAGGCATTGAACCTTTTCCTCATAATCAGTCACTAGGTTGCCTCTTCCATTCAGTAAGGAACCCAAACTTTTCATGATCTTCCTCTTGTTGCTGACATACTTGTAGAAACCCTTCTTGTTACCCTTCACATCCCTTGCTAGCTGCAACTCCAACTCTACTTTGGCCTTCCTGGTTTCATGCCTGCATTCCTGAGCAATACTCTACTCCTCCCTAGTAGTTTGTCTAAGTTTTTACTTCTTGTAAGCTTCCTTTTTGTATTCCATGATCACTGAAGAGTTCCCTGCTAAGCCAAGCTGGTCTTCTGCTGTACTTACTAGTCTTCCTGCATTCATTCCTGTGCCCTTAGTAAGGTTTCTTTATAGTACAACCAGCTACTTTACTTTCCACCTCAGATTGGCCTCTCATGGGATTCTGCCCATCAATTCCCTACAGTACAATATAAGATCTGCTTACATTTTCTTTAAAATTGGAACATCCAAAGTTTGAATTCCAAGGAAGAAAATGAAAATGCTGGTAGTAGTAGTGAGAAGAAAGAACATTGTCCCAGCCTAGACTCTGCCATTGGAGCCCACTTCAGCAGCAGGCAGCTCCTGGGGGCAGGGAGCAATCTCCAAGCCCCAACACCAATCATGGAGCTGGGGCCAGGAGCTCCTTGCATGGGAAGAGTTCCCCACCCAGCCTGAAGCTGGCTGGGACCTGCTCCAGACTGGGACAGTTCCCAGACAGTCCCAGACTGTATGGGTACGTCTGCACTTCCCCTCAAGGCTGCTGCAATTGGGAGCAAACAAGCTCCCCTATAGGCTTACTGCACAGTATTTTTTAATGTAAAACTATGCAACAAAAAGATGATTTTCTACTTCAAAGAACTTTCTGTCTATGTGACTGGGTTTTTGGTTATAGCTGTCTTCGTCTAAGGATATAGGCAGGCAAGGTTCTTTGGTATATGCAATATCTTTTATTAGACCAATTGAATAGTTGGAAAAAAGTTCTTTGCAAGCTTTCAAGTGCAGTAACCCTTTTCCAGGCACAGGGAGTCTGCTGGTCTGAGACTCCAAGGAGTGAAAGAAACTAAAAGTATGGCAGGATGTCAGTGAAAATATAAATAGGTAGAAGTTAGAAAGACAAAAGATAAAGCAAGTAAAGGAGGGGGAAGAATTTGCAGTGAGGAGAATACCCATAATTGCAGTCTCACAAATATAAAAGGAGCCTTCAGTTAACAAGGACACTCCTTCAGAGAGAGATTGCACTTTTGAAAGAGTCACCTGGATACCATGTGAAGATTTGCTTCAGTACAAAAAGAAAATCCCCACCAATCACACACCATTAGTTATGACTTATCACCTGTCCCGGGACCTACACGGAAAATCCTCAAACAATTGCAACCCATACTAGAAGAAGACCTTGTTCTTAAAGAGATCTTTCCAGAACCACCCATCCTAGTCTTTAAACAAGCACTGAACCTCACTAATCTCATCACCAGAAGCAAACTCCATATGACCCAAACCATACCAAATGCATCCAGACCATGCTAGGACAAGAAATGCAAAACCTGTCAGCACATCTCCACCACCCCCACAATAGCTGCATCCCAAAACAGAACCATTACCATTCCTGGATCTTACACCTGCACCTCCAAAAATGTTATATACAGTGCACCAAATGCCCTGATGAAAAATATGGAGGAGAAGCCAAACAACAACTGTGCACCAGAATGAACACTCACCAAAAATCTATCAAAGACAAGAATACCCAGCTACCTGTGGGGGCACACTACTCACAGGACAATCACTCCCTCTCTGATCTCTCAGTTCTAATCCTCAAAGGGAACTTACAAAAACACCTTTCATAGATGACCTTACGGACTACACTTCATAAAGATACTGGATACAAAAAATCATAGATTCAATATAGATGCTGAATTTATGACACATTACAACCAGCCTGACATCTGATTCACCAGGCACCTGCCTGACTTGACCTCTTACATTCTTCTTTTCCCCAATCTTTTCTTCCCTCCCCTCCCCTACTTTTTTGCCCTTTGTCTTCCTGATTTCCAACTATTTCCATTTTTCATTGAGAGCCATTATTCCTATTGTAGTGTTTCCCTTTGGCCTCCCCTCACCTCTTCTTTCTTTCCCCTTCCTTCCCTGCTTTACCTTTTGTCATTCTAATTTCTACCTATTTACATTCTCACTGACATCCTGCCACACTTTTAGCTTCTCTCATTCCTTGGAGTCTCAGACTCCCTATGCCTGAAGAAGGGTGACTGCCCAAAAGCTTGCCAAGAACTTTTTTCCAACTACTCAGGTGGTCTAATAAAAGATATCACATCTACTCAAAGAGCCTTGCCTTCTGTCTATGTGATACCTTTCAGCCATTAATCAACTGCAGGAACTGGACTGGGAGGCAACATAATGGTTTCCTTTTCAAAGTGCAACTGATGACCCTTCTTCAATGGGATTTGCAAGAGAAACTACCACTTCTCAGTTCAGATACTATGCTCTAAAAGCAGCTGGGCAGCATCTAAAGTTAAAATGTAGCCTAGAGGCCATAATGGGCACTGGTTTAAGGGTACCAGTTTGGGCTTTTAAGAAATGGGGAAAGAAAGGAAGAGATGGAGTTCCAAAGGTGTGACAGATAGCAAGTTGACAAATAAAGGGGTTGGGGAAATGCTTCATACCATGTCTATCTTTGCATGCAGAATTGGTAGTAGGTTAAATAGAAACATCTTTAAACCCATTATTTTAATATCTGCAATGTTTTAAATTGAAACAGTTGAAACATTAAGTGCTGGAAGAAGGAAAAGAATGGAGGGCAACATTTTTTTTTCTTTTTTTTAAAGAAGTGAGGGATTTCTACTTCCACTATAGACCGTTTATATGGTTCGAAAGATGCAGTTGGGGCTCTAAGCATTATACCAAGGACCCCTGATAATATGTATATGTAATGGCATCATGCCCCAGATTAGGCTTCCAAAGAGGTTTGAAAGGTGACTTACTTTTACTGTGTGAAGGTGCAGCACAGATTCTCAGTCAAAATCTTTTCCTTATTTCCATTTTCTTTTTACCTTTTACAGTAATGGGCTTGGTAGTATCTTTTTCATTGGTGGTGAGCTCTCTGCTGGTTCCTGACTATAACATTATCAAAAAGTGAGCTGGCTAACTCTTACATCTGAGTTCCTGTGCTGCTAGGCTAGTCACTTAAAGCAATGTTCTCCTAGGTAGTCACTAATTTTATGTTCCACATGTTCTGGGTGTTCAGCCTGAGACACTTGAGGTGATATTTTCAATTAATAGTGACAGTTCAAATCAGTTAGACCTGTGCTTTCAAGATATAAGGTGTTGTAAAAATACTAAGTATTATGAATGTGCTTTGTGTTCCATTTAGGCACCAAACTTAGTTAACATTTGACTCATTTGGCCTTAATCGTTTTGTCTTCAATCTCCAGATGCATAATGGGAACAACTGCTATTCTCACATATGGGGTTACAAGGATAAATTCATCATTTTTATGAAGTACTTGGGTATTCTAGTGAATAAGAAAGTACATAAGAAATGAATAACTTTCAGTGGACAGTTTGGATCATGTTAATTAAATAAGGACCAAGGATGCACACTGAATATGGAAGATAAAAAGAGCTATTGAATAGCATACTATTTTATGAGTTTCCCTATGGGGAAAAATAGTATAGAATAAAATTCTGAGACCATCATTAATGCATATCCACATGAGCTCCAGATAAGTTTGCACAAGGGAACTTAGGTCTGGTGTTTCCTAACTTCTGAATCCATTAGATTTTACTATATTCTTTTAGCAGAGTTTTTTTGTGTTTAATTTATATGGATAATGATAATCACTACAGTTATAGAATATTTGATAAGATATTATCTTTCATGTTTCCAAATATAATTAATTGGTGCAAGAAGCAGGACCCATATAATTAAGTTAATTCATAATTGGGTTCATCCATGAATTGCAAAGAATTCTGGGTTTTAGCATCTTTTTTTGTAAAATCCTTACTGTCCTGTTTTAGAAACAGGAAAGTAGATTAAAAGATAGAACTTACATGGCAGTCCTTGTGTTTAGAATATGAAATGCTCACTTAACTTTCCCTTTTTTATTTAGTCCCTTTGGGAAAAGAAAATCATACATATACCTGCGAGGGATATCATCCATATGACAAGTATGAAATACAAGTGAGAGCATACACCATGAATAAGAAAAATGAAGAGGTTCTAGGAAAACAGTGGGATTATAACGGGCGTACGACAGCAGCAAGTAAGTTTATTTAATAACTTTTGCATACAAATACTTCATAAATGAGTAGAAAAAAATGTTCATCATTAGTTATGCATTCATTATTCATGCACAATAAATTTACTGTTGTATTAGGAATGCTTACACACTAGCATTTTTCATTTATTGATTTTATTTGAATCATTTCAATATTCAGTGTTAATACTGTCTTTGAGTTATGTTTCTCAATGTGGACATTTTTAAGTTACCTTAAACCTAATACATTTATCAACTTTGAATTTTTTTGGTAATAGGACTTCTAAAATTTAATTTTATACAGAATGAAAAACAATTTAAAAGAGGCATAAAAATATATTTACCTTCTTCTGACATCATATCAATGCAAATATAAAAACAAATAATTATTTATAGCCCTATGAATAGGCATGTTTACTTAGTTTGGGTTTTTAGCTCTCACAGGATAAAGCTCAAGGTCTACTTTCACACCCCTGTACATTTTTTACCTCTGTTATAATTCCTTTTAATATTCTATTTTCATTTTTCTCTAGCCTTTAAATACATGTCTACCAACATTTGGGGGGGCATGCAGGGGGCAATATTTCCCATTATTTTGTAAACTTTTGCAGAAACTTCTTTGTGCAGACAAGGCCTAATTGGGGCACAAAATTTATGTTTAATATTTTTTTTTCTCTTCTGATCTTCTTTCTACTTTAGAAGTTTCAACTTTCTGTTGTTCTTTTAAAGCCCTGCAAAATCTTTTCTTTTCCCAAGACTTTTATCAGCTTTTTCTAACATTTTTGCTTACTTTTAGTCCTCTGTGTGCGCACGTTCATTTAAAGCAGTGGTACCCGATCTTTTGGCCTGGATATGTCATATAGGGGTGAGTCTGTGAGCTGGATCGGTTCCAGTCTCATGTTCTGTATTGTGCCCAAGGGCATGCCAGATCAGGCTGCAGCCCAACTCCTAGCCCTGTGTGTGCAGGCTGGGTTTGGCTATGGGGCCATGTAATCCTGCTTGTGGGGCTTGGAAGTTTGGCAGTGATGACAGCATTACTTCTCCTCTGCTATCAAGTTTCTAGAGCTCTGGAAAACCCTGTGGGCTAGGGGCTGGATTTGGCCCATGAGCTAGGGGCTGAGCTCACCTGATTTAATTCCATTCTTTAGTTCCTCCCCAAACCATTTAATTCTTCCTTGTTCTCCCTTATTCCACTATTAAAAATTCTTTCCTTTTCACTACTGCCAATATTTCACTTTCTTCTTTGAACCCATCTTTCTACCTTTAAAGAAATTGTAGGCAGCTCCAATACCTTCTCTCTTTAGATAGCTTCAGGTGTTACTGCTGGCTCAGTTAAGTAGGTGGAACATTACTTCAGAAGAGAGGTAAGAAGCTATCTGGCTCAGTTCCTATACTGAGAAAATCCTGCCCTTTGCACTATTCCTGTATTCATTCCAATTCTGATGCATTTTGTTCCATCCACTTTACCCATTAAAAAGGACCTGTGGTAAAAATCTCACCTAGGTATCCAGGGGTGTATTTTGTAGCTGTGTTGGTTTAGGACATAGGCAGATGAGGTTCTTTGGGTGAATCTGATATCTTTTATTAGGCCAACTTTAATAGTTGGAAAAAAATTTCTTAGCAAGCTTTCGGGTTTAAAAACCCTTTGTCAGGCTGAGGAAGAATCTGCAGTTGGTGTGTATGCTCTTCCTGGATGGAATCAATAGTAAAGAGGCCAGAGGCTGGTACACATGCAAGGAAGGCAGTCAGTGAAGATGTAACTTGAGGAGTTAGTGGGTGAGAGATCGGGGGCGGGGAAGAAAGAGGATGAATGTAGCGGGTAATAGTGAAGTACTAGGGGAGTCAGATGTCAGGCAGGTTATAATGTGTTATAAATCCAATGTCTATATTTAATCCATGATTTTTTTGTATCCAGGAGGTTGATGAAGTGAAGTTCATAGGCTGGTCTGTAAAAAGTGTTTTGTAAGTTTCCTTTGAGGATTAAAACTGAGACATTGGAGAGAGAGTGGTGGTCTTGTGAAAAATGTGCCCCCACCAGTAATTGGACATTCTTGTCTTTTATAGATTTCCGGTGTGCATTCATTCTGGTGTGCAGTTGTTGTTTGGTATTTTCCATCTGGGCATTTGGGGCATTGGATGAGATATATTATATTTCTGGAGATGCTGCTGTAAGATCCAGGAATGCTGATGATTCTGTTGTGGGGTGTAGTAATTGTGGTGGGGGTGGAGAGGTGTTGGTAGGTTTTGCAGTTTTTGTCATAGCATGGCCTGGATCTATTTGGTGTGTTCTGGGCAGTAGGAAGTTTGCTTTTGGTGATAAAGTTAAAGAGGATTTCCCATATAAGTTTGAGGGAGGGGTGATATGTCATAACCAATGGCGTGTGATTTGTGGGGCGGTTTCTGTATTGCAGCAATTCTTCACGTGGTAAACCCAAAAGCTTGCTAAGAAAATGTTTTCCAACTATTTAAGTCAGTCTAATAAAAGATATCAGATTCACCTAAAAAACCTTGTCTACTTAGGTATCCAGAAACATGGGTTCTGGTTTTTCTTTCAGAGATGCACTTATGAAATTGAGTTATAGAAAAAACAAAAAACAAAACCATTCCACAAAAATGTCCTTTCAGGGTTTTCTGAGATTACAGCTTCTTTCTGTGTAAAATGATTTTTCATAGACTGTGCCTGTGTCTTGGTACCTGCTATATATAAAATTTACTTTTATTGATAATGAAATACATAAGATGTAGATAGTAACTGAAGTTGCTCAACAGATAATCTAACAGACTGGTATAGTGAGAATTCTGTCTATTATATCTATTCTAGTCTAGTATCACAGATGCTACTTCAGGTTGTTCCTTTCTAGGAAGCCAATAATTCATTCAGCCATCAATCTTGCTGCTCTGGGTTTCACCAAAACTTGCGGTGGGGGGGGGGGGGGGGGAGGGGAGTTTGCGGGTGAGGGCATTCTCTAAACTTTATTTTGCCTTTGGGCTGATTACATTCTTGTAAGCAATTCCATGTCCTTCACCTGAAGACCAATCTAAAATTGCAAGACAGATAATGAACTCGACTCATTCACAACTTGGTATTGGGTATGCCAGCCCAACTGAAGACTTATATTGACTGCCTTTAGATGTAAAAAAACAAAAATAAAAAAGTCTTTACTTTAAGCTTTGTGTCCCCACACCAAGCACAGTGCATGCCCAGAAGAGGCATTGTGTTATTTTGACCTGGCTCATCCAATTTCTGTATAGACTGGACACTTCAGTGGGGCTTTTTGGTGTTTCTAAAAAATGACTGAATCTAAAGTGCTATTTTGTTTTGGGTTTTTTTCATGTCTACGAGCACCCATAGTGTCCCGACTAAACACAGTGCCCATATTGCATTTCAGCAGTCCCTTCATACTAACAGGGCCCATCAGAGCATCATTTGCCTAAAAGCAGTTCTGTTCCCCAAACAGCTCTGAAACCTAATCAGAATTCACTCCTTTCCCAAGTTTTGGTTTCATTAACAAAAACAGATAACAGCATTAAATTTAAATGTTCTACAAAACCTTGGTGATTTTTAAGGTTCTTCCCTCACAATTACTAAAAGCATAGTTGAAGGCCCCACTTGTTAGGGAGTTTCTCTCACCACTTTTTCTTTGACGCATCATGATCCATGTATGGGCAGATCTAGGAATTTGAAAAGGCAGGTGTGGAAGGTGTAACCAGCATCAAAGGGGCCAGAACATAACGGTAGTTTCTAGGGACTTGTTTGAATCCATGTATGACCCCACCAAGCCCCAGCCCCCTGCTCTGGGCACTACTCCATCTCTGAAATTCAATACTGCTTTCCCCTGCTCCTGCATTCCTCTCTTTTCTTCTTCAGTAGACACCCAGGGGATGCCTCTGGGAATAAGAAAGGGGGAGTGTAACAGGACACACCCTAGGGTGGCCATGACACCCCTTGGTGGCTACCTTGGTCCTGCCCATGGCCAGTTCTTGCTTCTGCCTCTCATGGTCTTCCTCTGATGTCCCCCCCC